GAACAAAATATTTACTCTCATTGGACTTAATGGACAAAGGTATATCTCTCTTGTCATTGAATTTGTGAGAATGATAAATTCTAAGATCCGTATGATGTACCGTAAATGTTACATGTTATATGATGCACTATAAATAATTTTACAATAAGCCTCTGAAATTTTTTATTATCAAGAATTAAGGCATAAAGGAATGTTGAAAAAGTGTTTTTTGTGATAGGTTCCTCTTTAAGCTATAAGATTGGAACTATGATTGAAGTTCCAAGGACTGCTCTAGTTGCAGATGAGGTAAAATTTCTACTCTGATATCTTGAAGATTCACTCTAAAATTCTAACGAAATATTGAAGAATGTGATAAAGAAAAACAATTATAAATTATAAATTTGTAGAGCAACAGTTAAAAGGATCCTCTTTTGGCTTTTTACACTTTCTAATTTTATATTTTGTTCGCCTAGATTGCAGAGGAAGTAGAGCTTTTTACATTCGGAACCAGTGACCTTACTCAGTTTACATTTGGATATAGCAGAGGTGATGTTGAAAAATTTCTTCTTATATAACTATCAACAAGGATTCTGCAGTATGATCCATTCACCGTCGGTTGCCTAAAGTTTGTTTGGTCATTTGTTTATTATAGAAGGAGTTTATTTGCAATTATATAAAATGTATTTAATAACTTATTTGTAAGTATTAATTTTAAATAAAAATAATAATTAACTCAATACTTAATAAAAAAAATTGATGACAATGATTAAATTTTAACAAAATTTTTTATAAAAACTTATAAAAAATGTCTAATATTTATAAGAACTAAAAATATAATTAAGCTATTTTTTATATATTTTAAGTTTCTACTCTCATAATTTTTTATAAATCCAAAGCCTTAGATCAAATTTTATTTTCATTGCACAAAGGTTATAGTTTTTTAATCAAAGAAAAGAAGAGTAACTTGTAAAGAAACTTCAACAACTAAACCCTAAACTAGATAAAAAAAATTATGTTAAGTAGCATGTAAATTTAGGTAAACTCAAATAAACTCGTAAGTTTATACTCAATTCTATAACTTGAACAAAACAAATAAATATAATAATTTTTTTTTATAAAAATGACGATCATTTGAAATTAGAACATCATTTTTCTTTTCTCTTTATAAATTGTGAAATGCCACATCTAAAATCAGGATGACACCAAAATTGTATTGTTATTATATATGATTTAACTTTTTAATTATCTTTTCTAGCTTTGTTATTAGAAGATATTTTATTATTATAGATTTTTTAATTTATTTTTATATAAAGTAAATTTTTACGAGTTTACAATTCAAGTTTAAGAAAAATTGTAAAGATCGTTGACTACAAACATGAATAATATTCTATAGTACACGATTTGTATTTAAATATATTTAAAAATATTAAAAAAATCAATTCAATGATTTTAAAAATCACATCTATCAGCTAAAAGAAAAGAAAATAAAAATTAATTTATCTATATTACAAAGTAGATGAGAAAATTTAGTCTTTACTTATTTAAACTAAAACAACTTTGAAATCATTAAAAATCGCATTATCATATACACGGTAAAAAAATTCGTACTTGTACATAGGTAGTTAGTGAGCTCATGTAATTTTTGAAATAAATTTATTATCTTCACTCTTTGCGAAAATAAATGTTGACGGTGTCCATTGTGGAATGAAGATGGTGTATGGCTTTGTTGGCTTCTCAAGCTATGAAAGATTGGAAGATCCTCAATAAGTAAATTCTTAGACACTCTCTTTTCCTTAGTATTATGAGTATGTGACAACGATAGAACAAATTTTGGAGTTTTTGTCTAAATGTTGTTGGCAGGTGAATGCTGAGCAATCAGCATGTATTTAGTGGAGCATATGAATCAGCCAAATGATTGGCTAAACTGGATGTTAAATAAACGAAGACTTGCCAAGTGTCACGGAGAGAAAATAATTCTTTTGACTTGGAGAAGATTATTATACAAGGTAATTCTTTTAATCGTTAACCTAAATATAAGAAATAGAAAATATCTGATAAATTACGTGCATCAATTGTCAAAATTAATCTAATAACATATATAATAATTAATAACAATAAATTACATCGATTCAACCATTAAATTTAAGTTAATTTATAAAATTTTTCATATTTTATATAATTAAAAATTAATTTATATTTTATTACACCATATTATTTGAATATATAATATTTTATTTAAAATATAAATAAATATCTATTGTTAGATAATATATTTGTAAATATTTAAATCGTGTAAAATTCTATATATATGATTGTTAAAATGTTATTATATAAGTAAGCTGTGATTAAGTTGGCAAACTTGTCTTAAGAATTTACTAGTTATGATTCATGATAAGCCGGTTTGACCGTATCTGAGTCAGCATGTAGCTAGCGATATATGACACGTGTCTCTCGTCTCAACATTTGCCACTGCGACGTCTCTCAATCTCTAGTTTCCCAGATCTTTAAAATCTTCATTCTCTTTGGTCCAACGAATCATGCATGTTCCAACATGATGGACCCACGTACGCATTATTGCTGCCCCCCCCCCCCCCCCCCCTCCCCTTTCATTCTATATAAAAACGTGTCTTTTCAGCTTTTATTTAGTTTCAATATTTTAACTATGTAACAAAATTTATTTTGACAAGAATAAACATAAAAATGTTAATTTTTTTTATAATTCGCATGTGTTAATCATTTTTTCTAAAACTATTAGTATCTTAATATCAAATTAGATGTTTAACAAATTTAAATTTAATTGAAAAAATATATTTATTTTGATCAAATAAAATAGAGATTTCTAGAATATAATAATTTAATTATAATTAAAAATAAAAAATATATCTATTCGTGTCAAAATAATATTGTTTAAATAATTTATAGTATTATTAAAATGAATAAGTTTTAATTAAAACTTCATTATTTAAACAATATTTTTTATATTATAAATAAAATAATATTATTCATACGATATACTATAGTTTTTTTCTTCGATTTACGAGGTTGTATATGTTTTACGCAAAGTCTGAAATTTATTATAGTGTTCGCTAATTTTATGTTAACTAGAAATATAAAAATAGTTAAAATAAAAACGTGTGAGAAATAATGCATGGTTGGGTCCCGCGCAAGTAGGAAGATTGACCAAAGACCATTCAACAAGTAGATTAGTTGCACGACAAGCAATTAAATAAAATTAATACATGGTGTCATTGTTATCCAAGATCAAGGATGCAAAAGATTCAATTTATTGAAGACAAATTGAATATGAATATCTATATGTATTTTTTAATGAAACATGGATGTCCACCTATTGGAACAAGTGAAATGAACCCAGTTAACATATTTTTTTATTTATCAAACTGGCGTATATCAGCATTCAATTTGTTATAATATTATTTCTTTAAAAGAGTATATTACTTTTGAAAAAGATAGCATGTGTCGTTTTTTAGGTTTTACTTTCTTTTAAAATAATATATGCCATTAATTTTTTGAATGACATGTATCATTTTTATTTAGTTTATTCAGTTTCAAGTTTAAATTCTTTTGTATCTTCCTTATCCTTGTTAGCTAAATTATTTTGCCTCTAATTATATTTTGTTCTCACGTTTAGTATAAATACATTATTCTTAATCCATATATTTAATTGTAAAATATTTATGCAACACACATGTATTCACTAATTCCTGAAAGATATCATTAGGGAATGTCTATGGAATATAGTAAAATAAATTGAGAAAGAAAAACACGTCCGTGTATAATTAACTAAAATATTATTCATAGAACAAGATTTTACACATAATCAATTCTCAACAGATTCAAGTTGAGATTTCAAGAACATATATCTGTATAATAATTGAGACAAGTATAATTTAGTACTATTTTGACTTGAAAATTTTGATAGAATCATTTTTTAAAAATTTGAACATGACCCAATTAAAACTAAGAAAATGTATGACACATGAATAGATTGATTATAGTTGTTGACATAATAATATAATATAATTTTTTCAAAAATAAATTTGAATAGAGTTTTTAATATCATTTAACAAAAATTGTTCATTTTTATAATAATTTCTATTAAAAATATATTTATAATATATTTTAATTGATTGACTGTGAAAAATTTTTATATTAACGTTGCATTACAATTAAATTCTTTTAAAATTATGTATAGCTTAATTATATATATATATATATATATATATATATATTAAAATTATGATATATGTTATAATATATATTCGGAACCACATAAAAATAAAATTTATTATTTCTTAATGTTGTTAAAAAATTATATATATTTTTTAATGAAACATCAGATACTTGAACTCGTCCTGAAAGTACGTTAAATTTAAAAAAAAATAAAAATTAGCCAGACAGGTTGGATCTACACCATTTCACAAGCATATTAAAAAAAAAACAGTTATCAATGAAAGTTTCAGTTAAGCAAGATTTTGGAGTTGGGGGTTAAAGTTTTTTGTATATGTAAAAAGTTTCCAATAAAAAAACAGTTTTTAGTGACCATGCGAAAATTGCTGTGAATTAATAATGCTTTCAGATTTTCCATTGATCAGGACTCTCAAGAATCGTTTCAGTCATTTACATGATAAAATCAGCCACTAGTATATAAATAAGACTCGTAATAATCGTGTATTCTTGTTTTAAATCATCCTACACAGCATTTGTCTTGTTTGTCGGGCAGGTTGCATCACAATAATTTCGATACATTTTAGCAACCAAATTTGGCCCGTTTGTTTCCTAAATGTAAGGGAATTTTCACAATTTTCTATGTAAAAAATTAATTTGTTACAGATATTTTATTAGAAGAAAATGAATATCAATTCTAATACATTTCCGTTTAAAAAAAAAATACACGAATGAGCTTTCAATCAATTGTTATCAAATGGACCACCCAGTTTAAAGCCAAGTACCCTACCCTCTTTTTTTTTTTTTTTAAGCGTCCCAATTGATGATCGCTCGCACCCAACCACTTCCACATGATTCATAAATTGCTAGAAAGTATTGACTTTAAACCTCGACAAAACAATTCACAAAACGTGAGCCACGTCAAAATTTATTTTATCTTTTTATGATTTAGCTACGTCAATTTAAAACTCTAATTGTGGCAGTAATCTCATTCTCATCCAATAAAAATAAAAATAATAAAATAAAGAAGGCAAATTGGCACACTAATGATCTCTGGTGTGATAAATTCAAGAATAAAAACCCCACACTTAACCTTCATTTCCCCCAAAAGATCCTTCCCCATCATACTCATTCTCTGCTACCGTTTTTCTCTCTCTCCAAGATGATCGGAGAACACTCTCAGTTACCCGTTTCTGATGACCCAAAGACGCCACTTCTCCCAATTCACGAGGCAACCCAAGGAACAAACAGCACCGTATCGTGCACCATAAAATGTTTTTTAACATTAAATAACTTGTATGTAATTCTAGGACCTTTATTGTCGATTATCATATGTCTCTTCGTGAAGCTGGATGCTCCACCCACCAGCCAGAAAATGCTTGGCGTGATTGCTTGGGTTTTCACTTGGTGGGTCACCCAAGCCGTGCCACTTCCGGTGACCTCCATGTGCCCCCTGTTTCTGTTCCCACTCTTCGGAATATCTTCTGCTGATGCTGTGGCCCACTCTTACATGGACGACGTTATCACCCTCGTTTTAGGTAGCTTCATTCTCGCTCTCGCCGTCGAACGTTACAACGTCCACAGAAGATTGGCCTTGAATGTAAGTCACCCCTTTTTGCTTAATCATCCCCATCAAAACGAGATTTTCCAAATTTTCAATTTTTCTATTATTTATTTTTACGATTGAGTTTTCATTAATTTGAGCCACCCAGAATGTCGTCTCTCTCTCTCTCTCTCTCTTTATTGATTTCAAATTAATAATTAATATATCAAATTTTATAATCTATCACACAATAAAAATTTATTATTCTTTTTATTTAGCCTTGACTAGACTTTGGAAGAAGGTTAATAAATTAGTCATATTTTCTTTCTATGTTAAAATTTATCGGGTGGAAAATTTAATTACTATATATATACTCAATTATTTGCATTTAGAAATAATTAAGGTTTGGACTTTTCTCTCTCAACCTAAGAATCTAAGATGCAGACATGGATTTTCAATTTGTGAGTCGTAAATGTCTAAATTTATTAAAATTAAATAAATTAAGTGGTGGAAAACGAAAGAATGTGTGTGTTTTTAATTGGGCGAAAAAAAAAAAAACAGTTTGGTTTCGTATATATGATTTGTGAACGTGACGTGGGTCCTACAGGTGACGTTGCTATTTTGTGGCGATCCGGTGAATCCAGCGCTGCTGTTATTGGGGCTATGTAGCACGATATTCTTTGTGAGTATGTGGCTGCACAACGTGGCAACGGCGGTGATGATGATGCCGGTGGCGACGGGGATCGTGCAGCGGTTGCCGCCGGTGCAGGAGCAATCGGAGGCGGTGAACAAGTTCTGTAGGGCGGTGATTCTGACGGTGGTGTACGCTACGCCGATCGGAGGGATAAGCACTTTAACGGGGACGGGTGTGAACTTGATAATAATTGGGATGTGGAAGAGCCTTTTTCCTGAGGCAAAGCCAATCAGTTTCAACACGTGGTTCTTTTACGGTTTCCCTGTGGCCGTTCTCATTTTAATTTGCTTTTGGGGCATTATTTGCTTGCTCTATGTGCCAAAAGGTTCGGGTCGGGCTTTGTCTGCTTACTTGGATAAGGCTCATTTGAAGAGGGACCTCGATGCTCTTGGTAAGTTTCCCTCTTCAACTGTATTCATTTTTCTGTTAACTATAATAGTTAAATAAAATAAATTTGTACCTAGAATGATAAATGCATGCACATAAACTAGCGGAACAGAAAACATAAACACAAAAAGCCTTCCCCAGCTTCCACCTTCTCTGCCTTTTTTGTCGTTTTCTTTTGTTGTTCTCACTTACGTTACATCTGCTTCTGAATTGTTCCTGTTCTTTAGAGTTGTGTTAAAATGTTTGTGCTTATCTGGCACGTAGGAGTTTAGTGTCAACCTCAATGCAGGCCATTTGCATTTATCCAAAAATAAAACATATTTCTTGTGAGTAATTTTTTAAATCATAAAACACGCAATATTTAATATCTTTATTAAACCGTAAGAGACTCATTAAGACTTCCTTTTAGAGAAATTCTATCCATATTTTTTTATTTTACAAATAAGAGACATAAAAAATATGAAAAAAGAGTGATATAATAAAAAGATATAAAAAATTGTTTCAATTATTATATAAATATGGTAATCCTTAATTTTGTGTAGTTTGGATGACCCACCACTCACAAAAGATCCTTGAGAAGAGGAAGGGGAATAAAAAATGAAAAAGGAATATTACGTTTAGAAAAAATTAGATATATATATATATATATATATATATGTATATGTATATATATAATCATATTTCCTATTTTATTTTATATTTTTTTATATCTTTCCTAAATTATAAGAATTGTTGGATAAATTCATTACGTGTGTAACGTTACTCAAACGAAAAAGGAACAAACTCAAAAGCTAACTGATCAATGGGAACATTAAGACAATATTTTAAATTCATTTATGCTAATTATTGTATTTTAAGGTTTTTGTTTTCATAAAAGCCTAATTAACATTTAATGTTACTAGTTTATGTTTACTGTAATTTTAATATTTTTTATTTATGAATTTCTTAATTATCGACAAATAATTATCTACATCTTTCCTAAAGATAACGTAACATAAAAGGTATATTTTCTCCATTATTTTACGAAATGATTAATGAAATTTTTGTATATAAAAGCGAGTAAAATTTAACACGTTTGGTTTCTTCAGTTTAGATATTTTTCATCTTGCGATAAGCTAGCCGAACTAGTTATCCAATTTAAAAGTAATGGTCTTTGTGGCTGACCCCGCTTGAAGTTACCCGCAAAATGTGAAAAATAAGAAGCAAGTGGGAAGGATAGAAATTGACCTATTTGGAATGGTTTATCATGTGGAATTTACTGCCTGCATTTAAGAACACCTCTTATCTACACGTATCACATTTTGTTTAGAGTGCTGCTAGAAAGTACTTAAATAAGTAAAAATAAAAAATATTATAAATTATGTTAAATTTCGTTGAAAATCACAGAAATGTTTTTTTTTTCTATTTTAACACTTGGCTCTTTTTTTATAAAACGTTTTTATTTTAATTTCTTAACTGGTGTTCAAGAACTGTGGCTTTTAATTTATAGTTTTATTATAATGTACAGTTTTCACACAATAAAAAAAAATGTTTTTAACATTGCTTCTAAACAAGCTGAGGCAGTTGCATTATATTATGGGTGTTTACAGGTCCAATGGCTTTTGCTGAGAAGATGGTGTTGTCTGTGTTTGGGGTATGTATGCTAATAAATACACGTTTTAAATTTTTATATCGAAACCATGGAGAATCTTATTATGTTTTCAAGGCATTAATGAAAGCTGAATGGTGAATGCAGTTGCTGATCATACTATGGATGACAAGAAGAATCACAGATGACATTCCTGGATGGGGTGCTTTGTTCCATGGTCTTGTTGGTGATGGAAGTGTCAGTGTAAGTACTGCATCTACTTTAGACTTTTTTTCTGTGTTATGTATGACTTATTACACAAAAATTGGACTCTTCAATTAATGAAACTGAACCAAAATGAATCCTTAATTTTATACAATATAGGTTATGGTGGCTGTGTTATTGTTCATAATCCCAAACATGAAGCAAGAGGGGGAGAAACTAATGAGCTGGAATGACTGCAAAAAGTTACCTTGGAACCTCATTTTGCTCCTAGGTGCAGGGTTTGCCTTAGCTGATGGAGTACAATCTAGTGGCCTAGCAGATGTGTTATCAAGAGCCTTAGATTTCTTGCAAGATGCCCCATACTTGGCCATTGTTCCTGCTGTTAGTCTAATATGTAGCATTATTACTGAGTTCATCACCTCCAATGATGCCACTGCCACCCTTCTTGTCCCACTTCTGTATCACATAGCCAGGACTATGCATGTGCACCCTCTTCTTCTTATGGTCCCTGGAGGAATAGCAACCGAGTTTGCTTTCTGGCTTCCAACTTCCACGCCATCAAATGTAGTTGGATTTGCCACTGGACACATAGAAATTCAAGACATGCTCAAAGTTGGTGTGCCACTCAAGGTTGCTGGGATTGTTGTGCTTTCTCTTCTCATGCCAACACTAGGTGAGTTACCATCTATGCTCTCGTAGACACTTGCTTTGAGAAAAATTAATTTGGTTTAAAAACCATTCTGAACTCCCAAGTTTTGCTGTTGCAGGAACTTTTGTTTTTGGAGCAAATGGCGGTATTAAATTGATTTCTTCTCGTTGGTTAGGAAATTGATTTTTTTCTCCAAATTCCACTTTGCTTTATAAATTTTGGGTGGGGGCCTGTTATCATTCGTAGAATCTTGCTTATACTAAATTTTAATTGTGCAATTGCAAGGGCCTCATGCAATATTTAAGCAATGAGGAATACTCTGTGCAAATATCAACAGGCAATGGAGAAGGTAGAGAAAGATCTCTATCTCACTCTTTCTTGCTATTATTTTGTATTTATATGTTAATTTGTTTACAAATTCTTTTTGAAGGGTTATATTATATAAATATAGGGGTAGGGTGAATTTCTTGCCATTGTAAAACTTTATACTTATATACCATTAAGAGAAGAAAGGAATTGATTTGTTTATTAAATGATTATGTAATGTGAATGCAATTTGTTGATTTAGAGGTGTCGGAAATCCCATTGATCCTCTAGTTGCGTTTGTAGGAGTTTCTCTCTTTCTATCTCCTCTTTGAATATAATTAATGAACCACCCATGCCACTTTTATTTGTGTCTCTCGTCTCTGTGGAAGGAGGAATTGAGTTAAAGAAAATGATCATTATACACCCACTAGGGTCATTTAGCCAGTGATAGAAAAAAAAAAAAAAGAGAGAAGTAAGCTGAGTTAAACAAAAAATTTGAAAAATTCTAAAAGTAAAAAAAGTGGAGACACTAAAGATAAGCATGATTAATATTAGAAGATTAAATAGCAATAAATAAATAAATATGTTTATACTAAAATTCTCTTGTTTGCAAGTTGATTACTAACGATCATATTCTCTATATAATTTGCATGCTTTTCTTTGAACTAATGATTTCTTTTTCACATTGCAATACTGCTTTTTGAAACCTAGTATTATAATATAACCACTTTGCTAAAATATATCAAGTATTATAATATAACCACTTTGCTAAAATATATCATTCTTGATAACATACATCCAGTCCACCGGTTAGCATGATATTGTCCGCTTTGGGGGTTAACCCTTCACGGTTTTGTTTCTCCCAGATATGACACACTAGGAAAATGCTTCATGCTAGAAGGAAGGACGCCACAACTATTTAAAGACTGATAAGTCACTCCCCCCAACCGATGTGGGATTCATCATCCCCTCCCTCTTCGAGAGAGTCCGCTACAGACGCACTGATAAGGCACTTAAGCTGCCACAGATACGCCGATAAGGTCCACCGGCTCCGGCCCAGGCTCTGATACCAATTGATACAATCACAAATCGTGTCGCCGAATTAAACGATCTTAAATTGAATTTCACACAATAAAAATGAAATTATTACGGCACAAATAAGAATTGAAATAAGAAGAAAATTAATAAAAAGTAAAAATAGAATAGAGATTGAAAATGGCGCCACAATCGCAAGATTGATAAACTAAGGAACGATCGCCACAAGAGTTTTGGCCTCTTGATAATATAAAAGAAAATTGGCTCACTCAAGAACCTAGAGTCACACGCTCTCACAAGAGTGTTCAATCTCAAATTATATTCAAAAATAATTAAAAGTGTGTTTACAAGAGCTTATATATGTCTAATGCTTGTAAACTAATACTAACGCAAACTCTAATGGGCTTCTTGTACCAATAAGCCTAAATTCAAATAAACTAAATAAAATAATAAGATTTTATCCTAAATAAAAACTCAAAATAAGTAATGACTAATATCAAAATAAATAAACTAAACATAATAATTAAATCCTAATAAAACTCGTTAGAGTTCAAATCTTCTAAGCATATGTAATTGATTATCTTGGGCTTTTCTAACTCTAAATTGAGCTCCCTTTCAAATAAGACAGCAACAATATTTTCTAAGTCTCCATTTATTCTTTTTGCCTTTGCCCTTATCATTGGTCCTTGAAGCTCTTCCAATGCTTTCAAGTCTTTATCTTCTAAGTATCTGTGGCGGCTTAAGTGCCTTATCAGTGCGTCTGTGGCGGACTCTCTCGAAGAGGGAGGGGATGATGAGTCCCACATCGGTTGGGGGGAGTGACTTATCAGTCTTTAAATAGTTGTGGCGTCCTTCCTTCTAGCATGAAGCCTTTTCTTAGTGTGTCATATCTGGGAGAAATAAAACCGTGAGGGTTAACCCCCAAAGCGGACAATATCATGCTAACCGGTGGATTAGGTGTATGTTATCAATTCTTCTACCTTTTGTTTATGATATGTGTGTGTTATTGATATTGAAGTTTGTATACACATCAAATTCTACTTGTTTGACTCTTCTTTGGTAAATACTTGCTTGAAGCTACAAGAGCTTAGAATTAGACATTTGTTTCCATTAATTGTAGTAGCTGTGCTATAAGCGAATCAAATTATTCTATGATGAACTTGTATACATTTCGATCTTTTTGACAAAATAAAAGACTTGCTAAATTAACCCAGTACATGCATACTTCTTAAAACATTTTATTCGTGATTGTAGATACCATCATCAAAATATAACAACAAAGTTTTTATTTTTTCCAGCTTCAAACCAATTATTAATTGCTTTCTCAATTTTAACCATAAAAACTTGTTTGTCGTAGTTGCATCTACAGAGGAGTAAAAGAAGATGATGCTCTCACTTATTTGTGTAGTATTTTTACGAAAAGAGTTATTTTCATATTATAAGCTACAGTACACGACTCTAATTTTAAATGACCTTTGAATTTTTCATTTTTTTTTTTCAAAGTGCACATAACATTATATTTTATCAATTGTTATCAAAATCCTTGATTGTTGGTGATTCTTAAATGCGCCTTTTATTTCTTTAGCATTCATTTGGATGCTGTGTTTTTATGATATGTATGTGCAAACTTTGCTTTTAAGGAATCTCCTATCTATTGTGTCACACGCATACACAACAAGTTTATGACAATACCTTCACTGTAACAAGCTCCAATAGATCTTAATTAGTTATTATAAAAATGCTGGCTTCTTTGCATTCATTATCTCAACCCAAGTTCCAAATAATCAAATAAAATATGTCTTACATTCATCTTAAAATAATAAACAAGTACATAAAATTGATCGAAAATAACGGTTCAATCTAATAAATGAGTAAATGGTATGCTATATTTGCTGGTTTGTAGATGCTACTAAAAGTAACATTTTCAAAATGTTAATAAGTCAACTTCGATCCAGTATTCACAAAAAAAAAATAAAAAAGTTATGATCAGTTTCTATAAATTCTTTGCTAACTTGAAATTGAATAAAAATAAAAAAATTGGGATTACTCTGACTTTTACCCACTAATGGGTTTAAGAATGATCAGTAATAAATAATTGAAATTATGGCAATAACATTTGGGGACACAATATTTTAATGCTCAATACAAATTATAGAAATAAATATATAAGGAATCCAAACGTACATACTCGCGTAGAAAAAACATAATTAACGAGAAACATGCAAGTATTAGCTATAATAGATACTATAAGAGATGCAATGAAATTGTAAAATGCAGATATAAATTTTTTTATAAAAAAAAACTCAAATTATTTTTTCTACTGCACAGTTTCTCTTTACTAAAATATTCGGCAAGATAATGGCAAAGAAGAAGCAAACTAACGATCACAAGCAAGTGTATATTATCTTTACTCTGGGCATTTGTTTCTGTTGATACACAAGGCATATTTTGTATGCTTGGTTTTGTGACATAGTGTGAAGGAATATAACAGGAAGAAAAGATGCGTTACAGAGAAGACACAAAATTGGGAGGAAAGTAAATGCATTTTTAGTTTGACATTTCAAACACTCAAAACGTGTGTATTTTCAACGCTTCACTAGCTTACTTCTACCTATTAAACATGCGTTCACCTAAGTTTATGCAAATTCAAACATACGATAAAAAGGTTCTCACTTTATTTTTTAAAAAATTTCAGGAATGCATAAATAAATTAGAGCATGAATGTGTTCATTTCATAATTATTAATTAATAATATTATCAATTGCATAACAAAATAGTAGATAAGATTTTTTTCAGAATAAAAAAGAAAATCGTGTTATACTTACACATCAACTATATCTGGATAAATTAACAAAACTATTATAGTTAACATATAAAAATTTAGATGGAATTAAGTAATGAAGTAGGTTATTAGTTTATTTCTTTAAAGAAAAGGATCAAGTTATAATAATTGTAGGTTACTCATCTATTCATTGTGCCGTGTATTAGTGGATTTGAGTGTCATTATCATCTAATAATATCATGTGTGTTATGGAGGAAGGTGGAACTGGGACTAGATGCCTTCATTTGTGGGCTGCAGCACATAGATCCCTTCCAAATTTGGTCCATATCACATTATTAATTTATTATCATGAAATCGTCCTTATTTATGATTTTCTTCCTTGGTGCACGTGGTTTTGGGCCATGCATGCCCATCAATTCTCTCATGACTTATCTTTATTATCATATTCCCATCTTATTGTTGACCAACAATATTATGGACACAGTTGGAATTTTTATTTTAATAATTTGCATAATAAAATTCCATATTTAAGATTAGCACACTAATATAGTAAAGGTCACATTATTAAACTAAAACTCTAACTTTCAATAAAAAACAATATCAGCAATACTTATAATTTGGATCTAAATTTTGTCCCAAAAACATTTCCATCTATTATATTAGATCACACCGTTTCCAATGAGAAGCTCTTTCACACCCATTCTTAGATTTATTCGAAGGCATTTATTTCAATTATAGTTTAAAGAATAATATTTCAGAAACATGTATATTAAATATTTTATTCTATTTTTAACAATATGTTTAATTAACGGCATTTTTAAAATGCTTTCCAATTTTATTTGGTTAAAAAAACTCAAAAGATGAAAAAAAAAGGAGTTTGGCCAAAGAAAATGCAAAAAGATAATAATTGAGTGTGTGTTAACATAATTTGCGTTTTTATTACAAAATAATGTATCCATTTTTATCATGAAAATAAATAAATTATTTTTATTGTATTAAAAAATTGACATCAAATATAAAACTGTCAAATTTACAATTATTTTTTTACTAACAAATATTAATTTATTGATAAAAGAAGGAATATCTAAAGTATTTAGTCGTTTAAATGAAAGTTTTTTATAAAACCAAATTCTACAATATTATATTCCTAAATCAGATTCATTGTTTAAGCAACTAAAAAATTATATTATATATGATATTGTAATGATTTTATATGTTTTATTTTTATTTATTTTTTCTCTTGTATATAGGTATTCCAAAAAGGAAAAATACATTAAAAAAAATGAAAGATACCACATCACATCCATTGTGTAGAAGACAACATTTCCACACGAGAAACACGGTACTTGTTCGTTATTATGGGCCCCACCTGCTACGTAAGAACTAAGAAATTTTATCTTGTGAGCCTCATCCCTACCCGTGACACGTACCGAGCGGCCACCATCTAAGTTACCTTTCATATGAATTAATTTTGAGTTTATGTCACTCTACCTATTCTCTATGTTTATATTTTTTTTTATCACATTATTAATATTTTTTATTTTTTATCTATTTCACACAAAAATAGATATATACATAACTTTTTTTTAATAAGTAAATTGTACATAAAATGAAATATTATTTTATGCTCTCTTGCAAATAAAACAATCATAATCATTAATTTTATATTAATAAATAGTGAAATTAATGATTTAATTGAAAAATATATAAATAAACAATCACCTTTTTTATATTCATTTCTTTTTTTTTTCTCGTTTTGAAAATGTACACATTCCACAGATATTTATGGAGTATTTTTTTAATTTTTGCTAAAAAATTTATATTTCTAATAAAATAATATATATTACATATTATTTATTTTTTATGAATTTAATATAAATGGTTTAATTTTAATAATTCTTTTATACTACTAATAAAAAATAATATGAAATTAATAAGTAAGAATTGAGTTTAAACCCATTAAAAAATAATAAAAACCTAATAGATTTAAAATATAAATAATAGTCATGGTTTATTAAACTCAAAAAAAAAATTTACTCTCTTTCTATAAAAAAAATTTCAAGCATCTTCAAAGGAATATCTTTAAAGAAATACAATAAATTGGTCAAAGAAAATCATTATACCTTTACGTTATATTTATTTAATCAAGCTATATGAATATGAATTCAGGTGTTTTTCGAACCCTTTTCTTTTCTCAAAAAGGACAATTGTTTATATAGAATTCGACAATGATTAAAAAAATTTCTACAAATTTTATAAAATTTGTTTGTATATAGTTATTAAACATTTTTTAACTGTTTTCTTTGTTTTTTAATAAATATATATATATTGATTAATTAAAATTTATTAAAAATTATAAAACTTATGTGAATCAATTTTTTCATATTTATAATTTAATAATTTTGTATTAATTTTAATTAATAAATAAGAATTAGTTTTTCACACTCTTCACGAAAGTGTAAATCTTTTTTATTATCTTAAAATAATTCATCAATATTGTGTTTAAAAAAACCATTCACCTTCAGAAATATAACTTCTTCCGTGCTGTTCTATTTGAAAGGCTGGGGCATTAGGTTTCCCTTTCATTTATGTGTGGGTCGGTGGGTGAATAAAATACTTATATAATTTCGTTCTGTTCAATGATTCGATCTCACTTTCCATATATTTTTAAAAATAATTATTGAAGATAACAATGAAAAGATTTCTTAATAATTATTACTAGTACACAGTATTGATAGATCTGCGACTTAAAAAAAAGAACAATAGAGATAGTAGTTGTTTGTTTTTATATTAGTTTTAAAATTTTAAAAATCATATTGTAAAAAACTTTTAAAAAATAAAATTTATTTATGAGTTTAGTTTTTAAAACTATTTTTAAGATGAAAAACTAAAAAAAATCAAAATACCTTAAAATTATTATATTTTATAATTTAAAAAATAATAATAATAAATTATTTTTAAAAATATTTTTTAAAACTCATCTTAACAAATAATTGTTTTTTACTCAAAAACTAATTTTAAAACACTGAACAGTCTACGCGTGTTTAACTCGCAACCGTAATATCCATGAACAGCGAGGGCAATCGTGTACATGCGTTACCCCTAAATCTAAGGAAAAATGAAGATTGAGGAAATGGCCGTAACCTGCGTTCTTCCTCTGCTATAAATACCAATAGCCATTCAAACGACATGGCAGAGAACAAGATTATTGAAATTAAATAACATTTACCAATGAGACATTATCACTGCCTTATTCTCCTTTCCCTTCCCTTCCTCTCTCTATTGGTGTTCTCCGCTACCTGTTCAGAAACTATACCCGGAGGATGGACCGCCATCAAGAACGTCAAAGACCCCCACGTGGTGGAAATCGCCAAATATGCAGTGAGCGAATACGACAAGCGTTCTGGGGCGAAGCTGAAGCTGGTGAGTGTCGTCAAGGGTGAAACGCAGGTGGTGGCTGGCACCAATTACCGCCTCGTGCTCAAGGCCAAGGATGGATCCGCCACCGCCAATTATCAGGCCGTCGTTTGGGAGAAGCCTTGGCTTAAGTTTAAAAACCTCACTTCCTTTAATCCTCTTTATTCCTAGTCCTGGATACTGGATACTCTTGTTCGCTTTGATTTTCTCTATCATCAACTCTCCTACTAATACTATGTATGATCTACCGTCCTGTTGTTTTTGTCGTGCATTCCTTTTTACTTCTCTCTCTTGCTTTCAGTTTTGTCAATAAAGTTGTTGGTTGATGTATTTATTATATTATGGTTGATGTGGTTGGGAATTTTTTTAGAATCGTGATATTACTGTCGTAAATGTAGTTGCGGAGTATGAACTAAAAATTTGATTATGCTTTGCTTGCTCATTGAGAAATGGAGTTTGGATGTGTATTTAAGAGTAGAATTTTGAATCGCGAAAATAGGTTCATCTTTCATGTTTTCAATCTTATCCTTTTAATCATAATTTGACACGTCATTTCTTGAATGAGCATCTGATTTCATTTAAATGAACGTTTCTCAGAGGCTGATTGGACGAGCCATGAGACCCCACAATTATTTCTACCTTTCATTGAATCTTCGTTTTCTCTCTCAGCAATTCCACCGTCAAACAGTGCGGCACTGCACATCCTTTGGCTTATCGCATTCGCGTTATCGTCGGTTTTACGCTTTGCAGGCCTCATAATTTTGTCCTTTAAAAAGGGGTTTCGGTATATTGAAAAAAAGTGGTATTTATAAACCATCTCTTTTAGTCTCAACTCTTAAGTTTAACGTGAGACTTTAAAGGACGAAACATCTTTAAAATCTACTTTTTATGCTTTGTGAAAAATTGAGTTAGAACGAAAATTTATGCCTGAAAATCGTGTAACTTTCATTTTCAATTTAAAACAAATCAATTCATAATTATTCAATTGTACTTTTAAGGAATTTTATTGGTTGAAATAGATAGTTACTTAAATTAGTTTTTTTTTATAAAAAAAACAATACTTTTTATTTAATCTCACACCTTATCGTTTGAAAGTAATTTTTTTGTTTGTATTATTTTCATTTTATAATAACTTCTCTTTTTATACTTTTGATTTCTAATACTCTGCTATCTTTAACTCTCTTTGATGTTTAGTTTTGTAAAAAAAGAAATTGTCATTAAATCTTATTAAAATATAATAGCATTATTAAATTCTAATTTTTAATATAAATTGATTTAAATTGTCTTATTTTATTTAATAAAAATGATTTAAATGAGAGTAAAAGTTAAAATTTGTAATTATTTTAAAATATATAATTATGAAAAATTAAAATTTAGATTAAAAAATAATATCTTTATATATTATTTTACATTTATCAGTTAATTAAATCTAATTTTATCAAACATTTTTAGTTGAATCAGATGCAGGTCTTAACTAGTTCATTCACTAACTTTACAAAGCACACCTTTAATTTAATTTAATTTTTTTGGTTTTAAAGCTTATTAATTTTAATTTTCAAACTCCATGTTTAAGGGGGAAAAGTTGCTTTAACAAAATTTGAGTTAGAACGAAAATTTATACTTAAAAATTTGTGTAACTCTGTTTTCAATATAAAATAAACAAACTACTTCTTATTAATACAATCATGATAATGTCAAAATTTAAGTTCATTTTATTTCTTCTTCTTCGTCCTCATTTTCTTATTATTATTGTTAAGAGTCTTTTTTTAAAATATTCTTTTCTCTCTCTTATAACTATAGCAATTATAAATGTATTTTATATAAAATAAATAAATAAAATGGAGTGACAATTAACATATGAGCGTGATTATAAACACTTCTCATCTTTTTTTTAATAAGCCAAAATTTTTTGAACATATATAATAATTTTTATTATTAAAAATTATAAAATAACATAAAATTCAATACATTTATAATATTAAATATTATAAATTTTAATAAAAATATTTATTAATTATATACATAAAAAAAACTACACTACAACTATGGCCTCTAAATATATAAGCCTACTAAAATTATTTTGGTAATTTTTTTCTCTTGATTATTGCAAAACAGTTCTGGACGCTGACTGTCATTTGGTCTTCTTAAGAATTCACATCTCAATCATTTTTCAAAATTAACTCTCTAAATTTTCATCTTTTAAGATATTTTTCATAATTTTATCTACAATTCTCATTTAATTATGTGTGATTTTTCAAGTTTTTATAATTTTTTTCATCCTCTCTCAAATAAAAATAAAAATTATCAATATAAATATTTCAACTTCTCCCTCTAATTCAACCAATTAACAAGATGAAGAAAAAATTTTCCATTCTTAAATTATTATTGATGAAATCATTAATTTAATTATTTTCATAATTAAAGTTTTTAATTTATTTCTATTAAACAGTTAAATTTGTCTCCTATTATATATCAGTATCCATTCAGCCATTCTCAATCACTTTTCATATCAAAAATCAAAATTATTTGTTGAAAAAGAAAAAATACAATTCGATCGATATTTTTATCAACGATTCATTTACTTTTTTTAAAAGTTAAATTATACCAATTTTTAAATTTTAAGATTGAAAATGTATATATTTTTTAAAGGTTGAATATTTTGATTTTAATTTAATTATGACTTTATTTTGTAAAATATAATCGTATTATAATATTTTAAAATATTAAAAATATAACTTTATGTTATTTTTAAAAATTAGAGATAGAGAAGTACAATTTTCACGATTAAATCATAGGCTCTAAAATATTTAAGACGGCCCTACAACTATGGGATAACGATCATGCAAATGGGATAATTATAAGACAGAAAATCTGTGAAGTTACATATTTACGTTGTCACTCATCTACTTGTTGAAATGATATTGTGTTCTTTAAACCTTTTCCTGTCTTAAACCCCTAAAATTTTCTAACCAGGAAAAAAAATGCATTTAGTTATACGGCAAACAATGTGACTCTATCATTTAAAGCCCTTTAGCATTAAATGGTTTCTAATATCTGATCAAACCCATAGCGTTGCGTAGTAGTTAAGAGAAATAATCTATATGTGTCTATTTTATTTTCGTCTGCACTACATGAATTTTGGAGGCAAAATGTTATATTATTTTAGTTTACAAATTTTTTGTTCATGAAAAAGTGTTATATATTATTTGAAAAATGGTTTAAAGTAAAATTTAGTTAATATTATATTATATATATCACTCTTTCAAGAATAAAAATTTTATAAGATGAGTAATAAAAAAAAAGAAAGTGTTTTTCAGTATATGTAAAGGCGGCGTGAGGGGTTGGCATTAATTGGGGAAACACAGAAACACGTGAACGGGAAAACTTTCTGCCGAGTGATGATTGTGTGATGCACATCTCTTCATTTGTTATCGAACGTAGCCACTATGGCCATGTACTCGCTAGATTATATATATATATATATATATATAAAAGGCGCGAATATTTTATAAATTTTTACTTTTAATTTAAATTTTTTATTTAATTAAGTGTATAAATTTTTAAATTTATATTAATGTAAGAAAATTCTTTCTTTATATATATATATATATATATATATATATATATATATATATTAATACTTATATTTTAAAAGATTTTTCTTACCTATTTTTACATTTTTATATTTCTATAATTTATTATTGGGTTGATAAACTTATTTTGGTTATTCATAGTTTATTAATTAACATATAATTTATAAATATTTTTTAATGAACTAATAACACATAAATTTTAGTATAAATTTTTTTAAAATAATTAAAATTTAAAATACAAATAAAATAATTGTATAAAGTCTAATTATAATATATAAGTAATGAAAATATAATGATACAAATTATATTAAAAATTACACTGTCAGCTTTTTTAACGGCAAAATGTGAATTTTATTGATCAAATTATTAAATTATATATAATTTTAATTAATTATGTTAAATTTATTGAAATTTATTATTTTTAATAAAATAATTATCAGTATTTTTTAATATTGTAAAGACATATATTAAAATAATTTTAACATGAATAATATTTTTATATTAAAAAATCTTATTAAAGAAATGAAATTTTATATTAAAAAAGTGTTATAACGAGAGTGTCAGGTCATAACAAAATAATTTCAAATAAATGTATTAATTTTAACAGGTGTATATTTAATAACAAAATAATATTCAGTTTTGAATATAATAATAATTTAAACGTTATACCTTTTGATTTTCAATAAAACTGCATTTTTTTCATATAATTGTTTTATCACATTTAAACAAATTTAAATTAAATCTACCAAAAATAAATAAATTAAAGATATAAGATTTAATATTAAAAAATAAACCTTTGTACATGATAAAATATAAAAACTAACAAAATTATATACACTCTATTTTATAAATTAAAGCTACACCTTTATTTTAGGTGAAAAGAAAAACCAATATTTATTTAAAAATAATGATGTAACTTTGCATAAGAAAAATAAACTTAAAAATATATTACTTTTAAGAGTTAAAACTCACAAAATTATATTTATTATATATTTGTGAGTTTTATTGATTTTATTTTATATTATATTATCATTTAAATTAATCGATAGAAATATTATTAATTTTTGTCTCACTTCATTATTGTAATTATTTATAAAATTTATAGCAAATAATAGTGATATATAGTAACAATTTACAATCAACAACTATTTCAAATTCTAATAATTATGTACCATAATTTGTTTTGTAATATTAAATAACAGATTTAAAGAAGAATTTGATGTCTTAATCTAAACTTTTAAAATAGAAAAAAAAAATCACACAATGTACAAACACTTTTCAATTTTTTTGTGTATGTCAAACCAGAGTATCTTTTATATCTCTCAAGTCATTGCTTACTTCAACAATTAGAATTTACTCTTAAATACACTCCTTACCTCTCTCTGCATACCCAATTATGTAACTAAGCATGTAATCATTTTTTAGTGTATGTGTATTTCAAGCAAGTGTAATTGCTATTCACCAAACGAAAATGAAGTAGATGAATTTACTTGTCACTCAAGTACACCTAGAAATACAGTTTCATTAATATGAAAAATACATAGACTGATTGATTTTATGAAATAAAAAGTTAATATTATTTCTCATTGTTACAATATTTTCTTATAATTTTCAAAAATTCTTGTGATATTTGAAATTTAGTGTTTATATATTTCCAATAAGCTAAAGTATAACTTAACCTCTAAAGTTTTAGAGTATTTATTTTTTTTTACTTTTTATCTTTCAGTAGCTGTTTATTTATAGTTTTACTCCTAATATAAATTTTTAGAAAAATAATAATTAAATGAAAGCTTACACTGTTATATATTTTTTATTTCTTTTAGAGTTCTTAAAAAGAGTCAAAATCATGAATTAACTCTATCTAACATTAGAATAATCTTTTAAGTATTGTTCTAATATTAATTAAAAGATAATAATTTAACCTTAAATTATTTAATCCATAATATTAGGATATCGATACTTATGAGTTGAACTTGATCCTAAGTTTAATCTATAATATATGGATTAGGATAGGGATACCCATGAGTTGACCTTGACCCTAAAAATACTCTCAAATTTTTTCTAAAGAAATTTTAATTTCAATTTTCTCAATATTCTCAAATCCACGGCATAAGTGTCGTGTGCTCACAAAGATAAAACACAATATGAGTATGTAATCTATAATTATGTTCAAGATGTTCGATATCATTACCCTAATCCATTATATATGGGTTAAGATAGGGATATCCATGAGTTGACCCTAACTCTAAGTCATTTAATCTATAATAGATGGGTTAGGGTATGGATATTTATGAGTTGACTCTGACCTAAAAATACTTCCAAATTTTATCTAAAAAATCTTTAATTATAATTCTCTCAATATTCTCAAATTTGCAACACAAGCATCGTGTGCTCCTAAAGACAAAACACAACATAAGTATGTAATCTACAATTTCGTTTGAGGTGCTCAATAATCAAAATTCAATTTTCACGTTTCTTCTCTATCTTCCTCATCAATAGAAAAACTTAAAATTCAATCTCTAACTTTAAAGTACTATTTTTTTTACATTCCTTTGTTTAAATTTAAATTTTTCATAAAATATATATTGATCATTATTCAAGTTACGTCAGTATGTCTTTAAATTATTAACATTTTCTGTAATTTTAAATACTAACACTGAAAAAAAAATTAGGTTAGAATGTTTTGATTCTTGAGGTCCTAATCCTAATTCTATTGACTTTTTGTTCCATAGAACTTTTAATTTATTGAATTTTTTAACCCTAACTCACATGCATTAGAATTAAGAATGAGCCATGTGAGCTCATTGTTATTTATTGATGTTGATAATAAAAAGAGTATATTTTAATAAAAATTCATAGATAAAATACACTTATAAATTGTTGGATTTAACAACAATTATTTGTCATCTTACAAATAAATGAAAAGTATGAAGAGTCATAACTAGGTGTATAGTAGTTTTATGCCAATTTTATATATATAAAAAAAATCTTATAATTGATTAGTATAAATACTTATTTGAAGAGTTTGAATTTTGGATATAAATAATTTGCTATAAGCAATATAGTATCCATATCCATTTACTCATTTAATTACTTAATATATATAATCAAAACAAAAAAAAAGATAAATGATTTTGTTATAATTTAATTTTTTATTATAATATTTTAAAAAATATATTTTATTTTATAATAATATTTATGTTTTATTACTTCATAAAAATATAATATTTAATATTTAGTTAATGAATTGTTGATAACAAGTATTCAAATTAATTTGAAAGAATATACATATAACCTTTTAAAACCTGAGAACAAGGATACCACTATAACACATATTTTAATTTAACAGCTCATTCTCATCCCCAGTCCTATGTATGCAAAAAAAATTTATTGACAAATTGAGTTTGTCTTGAAATCAAATTTTCTGTAATGAAATTATCGAAAAGTTGTATTGGCATTGATGCTAACCTACTATGGAATATCTATTGTTGTAAAAATATAAAAAATTAAAATTGAAATTAATAAACTTTAACTAAAATATATGACTTTAGTAAATAATTTTTTTTACTTATAAAATTAAATTAAAAATTTATAAATAGCAAACAACTTTAACTTTCAATATTTTATGCATAACTAAAAAAATAAATTAAAAATATATTACAAAATTTTCTCAATTTGTGACATGACTGATAAGATAGTTATGTCAATAAATAATCATTTTGACATTATTAATAAAGTTTTAGATTGGTTTTATAAAGCTTCTAGTCAATATGAATAAGTCTAAGCTTTATTTTTTAAATAATATTGATAAGAAATATGTGTAAACTTTAACTTTTAAGTTTGATTTTGTGTCTTTTAACAATCTTGATACATATTTATGGAATTCTATTATTTATAGAACAATTACAATATATATATATATATATATTGATCTAACTGATAAAGTAAAAAAAAAAAAAAAAACTTTCTGATCAAAAAGACAATTCAGTGTCTTTCGTAAAAAGAGTTACTTTAACTCAATCCTATTTACTTAGCATCCCAAATTACACAGGACACAGAATCATCTTATTTATGGCAATGTATGTAAGAAAAAGCAATAAAAAGGTATAGGAATTTTACATGGATTCTTCAATCATCATAAACTAAAAGAAAATGTCATTTGATGGCTTAGGAGAAGATTTGTTCTAAAAAATAAATAAAATTATGAGCTTGACTTAAAAAACTTCCATAATATTAATTTAACTTGCAGAGTTAAGTTGAGTTGAAACCTTATGGATTGTCTTGATAATTTGTGGGTTAAAGTCTTTAAAACTAAATATAATTGGAATTGGAATTGGAATTGTCCTACTTTTAAAAATAAACATTATGTTTCACTAGTATGGAAAGGAACATGTAAAGCCTAAAATTTGATATGGCAAGGCTTATTTTGGGTTATTGGAGATGAGTTAATGGTTGAATTTTGAAAGATTGTTCTATTATGAGAATTTCTTGCTTTAATAAGCTTGTTCTCTATAATGTATCTAATGAGTATTTTAAATTTTTGTATTGGTTGTTTTCCAGTTAATGGTCAATTAAATTGAAATAAAATTAAATCTTTTATTCACTGGAGTCTTTGTGATTTGACTTTTAATGTTTTTCCTCTTAATTTTAACAATAATCTTGATTTAGTGAGTTGGTACCCTGCTTCTAATGATTTTTGTTCTTTCTAGTTGATGAAACTAATCGTAATGTGAAAATTAAGAAGACATTTTTCAAGTTGATTTGAAATTGGCTAGGTCTTCAAAAATATTAAGATTATTCTTTGAAAAATAGCACATGACAAACTTTTGACTAATGAAAAAAAAAAATGAAAGATTTAACTTATTTAATAGTTTGTGGTTATTATAATTTATCCCCTAAAATTATGATGCATGTGTTGAGGGATTGTGTGGTAGCATCAAAGTTTCAATATCATCTATTAGAGAATAAGCATCATAATAAATTTTTTCTTGGAGAATCTGTAGTTGGTTAAATTTCAACATACAATATGAAATATTTTATAGTTTAGATAATTGATATTTGTTATTTGGTATTGTTGTATAGATGATTTAGAATAATAGAAATTCTAAAAAAATTTATAATAAAGTTGAAAGATACTTTTCTTTAATAAATTATATTAAAGATTATATAAATTATGTTATTTCAACTTCTGTTAATTTTCACAATTCTCTTGTTCATAATTTTTAAGAACCAATCTATCGTTTCATAGACTTTTCCTCTTAAAGGCAAGATAAAGTTAAATATAATGACTCAGTTTACAATCCACAAAAGCTAACAACCTAAAAAGATTATCTAAAATTTTTAGAGTTTGTTGTTAATTTTAATGTGTAATATTAATCTACAAATATAATTTTAACTAAATTACGATTATTTATGTTAAAATAGATTCGAAAATAATTATGTACTTGCTTAATAATAATGTCAAAAAACATTATGAATTAGAACCTCTAATAAGAAGATTCGTAGTTTACTTCAATCTTGCAAAATTATTAATCTTTTAGCATGTTTTTAGAAAGATTAACATTTGTAGACTTATTAGTTAGATTACCCCACCAAAAAAGCTAAGGATTTTAGTGCTTTATTAATACCCCCTCTTATTATTGTTCCTATTTTTAGAAAACATGTTTATGCAATAATTTTTTCCAAGTTAGTTTATTGTTTATTAACTATTCTCTTTATACATAAATATATTAGCAATCCTAAAATTATAGTTTTCCTCCAACATTTTATTATTAATATTTTATTTTATACACCAATCCCAACGTTTTATTCCAATTCTAAAAACAATAATGATAATATAAAGAATACATCGATCATTGTATTATGTTTTTTAATATATATACATATTGTCCGTAGTTTTCTTTTTTGCTAAGCCCTTTCCATTATATATATAATAAAAATATAAAATATATATGTAAAAGTGATAATAATAATTTCAAAGAATAATTTTATGATTTATTCATTAAAATTTGATCATTACTCTATGCTTAAATATATAAGGATGGATGGATAAAATAACACGTAATTAAATAGATTTTTTATATTATTTTTTGAACAATTTAAGACCAAATAATAAATTAAAATTCTCATTTTTTATATATAGAAAGTCAATCAAATAATAAAACTTTTGCAACTAACGAGACAGTTCCATTTTATAACTCTCCAATTTAATAAAAGAGGTGAAATAAAATGGAATAATTTTTTAAGCTTTAACTTTTTTAATCTTATTTTGAAATCTTCTAAAAATTGGGAATGTTTTTTGTTTAATTTTTAATTAATTTGTATTAGTATTTTTTATATAATAACAATTTTGTTTTTGTTGGAGTCCGTGCAGGGGTAAAAGTACTAGTTTTTTAAACGTGTATTATCCTTTAAATCTCAAATAATTTAAAAGAAATGGATAATAAAAGCAATTGAATCGTTCTTTGGTAAAAAAAAAAGGGGGCTATTAGGTGAGAAATTTGCTTTCAGTTACAGCAGTAGGGTTAACTTATGCTAAATGGGAATATTTTTTGTTTGGCTGAAACTGGGGCGGTTAAATAAAACTGGGCAAAGATTGAATTATGAAAGTGGGTTTGTTTTTTCTGGTGTTAGGTCGAATCCTAATCCCGTAACTCATTGTTTTGTATCCATCTTCAGTTTGTATTATTATCCTCTCATCCATAATTTTCCAGAAAATCTGAAACATATATAAATAAATTTATATTCCAAAATAAAATAAAAAATAATAATTACCGGATTGATCTCGTTCTTATTCTCCCACGCCCACTCTGAATCAGAAACCCTAATCGGTGGTGTGTGGCACTTGAGAGAGTAAGAAGAAGCATTAAGCATAGCACTCTGAGAAAAAGATGAAGGGTCTCTTCAAGTCCAAGCCTCGCACCCCTGCTGATATAGTGCGCCAAACCAGAGATCTTCTACTCTTCGTTGATCGCAGCCCCGAAACCCGCGAAAGCAAGCGCGAAGAGAAGGTTCGTTCCTTTTTCTTTAGATCGCTTCTTTACAGCTTTTATTTATTTTTTATCTGGAATTTGATCTGCAATTGATAAGAAGCTCTGTATTGAGTTCGTAATGCTTAATGCAACGCCATTGTGCTGAATCTTGATTGGTGAATCAGGATAACCGCTATGTGCTGGTTATGATGTTCTTTAACTTGATATTTTGTTGTTGTGGTTTATTGGTACGTGGGTTTAGATTTAGAAGCATATATAATTAATCACTGTAGTTGACAGTAATTTGTTTTAAATATTTAAGTTGTTGGTGGTTGATGTTCGTATTTTAGAGTTGCAATTTTCTTTTAGTTAACCTACTAGAATATTCGGGGATTTATTTTTTCATTTATTCTTTTTTGGTTTTGTAAGGTGGAACTTTAGTGTTAAATGTAGTTGTGCTTGATGTGCCATCATCAGGGACTACATAAGCAGAAGTAGAATTTGTGTGCGTAAAAACGAAAGAGCTGGAGTCATTCTGTTTGTTTTTCCTTTTTCAATTGAGTCTTGGCTTGTTGGCCCTGCAAAGTTACCCATATTATTTGATGTTTGCTATGTTCGTGTGATGCATTAAACAGCAGATGTCAGAGCTGTGTAAAAATATCAGGGAGCTAAAGTCAATCCTGTATGGAAATAGTGAATCCGAACCAGTCTCTGAAGCTTGTGCACAGTTGACTCAGGAGTTTTTTAAAGAGGACACATTGCGACTGCTTATCAAATGTCTTCCAAAATTGAATTTGGAGGTAATAAAGAAATCTATAAGAGATCACCTGATACTTGCAGTCAATAAATATGCTGTTGGTTTACTTGTTTGATGCTGTTAGATACCTGTTGTAGGATGCGTATGCCTGTCAATAAATTAGCATTCTTGCAGCATCTGGGTGGTGGGTGGAATCACGTTTATCTTGACGCTGTACTGTGATTGTTTAGTACTTGCTAACCTGGAGACTATGGGCTTTTACAGGCCAGAAAAGATGCCACTCAAGTTGTTGCAAATTTACAAAGGCAACAAGTTCAGTCTAAGTTGATTGCATCTGATTACCTGGAGAAAAATATGGATCTTATGGATATTTTGATAGTTGGGTAAGAAACTATTGGCTGACTGTTTTGATTTCTTGATGCTTATTCTAGTAAGCTTCGGAATCAGTATGGTGAAGTTTTTGCTTGACCAAATGAATGGAATTTTATGTTATTCTCTTACCTACCATTGAAAATTGAATATCCCTGTGAAATAGACATGATAATCTCATGTCTCTGATCATTGGATTTTGAGACCTTCAGGTGAAATTTACTTTTATAACATGTAATCTTGTTCATATCTTACCATGTAAATGTTATTTTCTTATGCTTCTTATCGTGGTTGTCATTAAATTATAGCTTCCTTAGTATTGATTCTAGTAGACAATTGACCATCTATTGTTGCTTTTCAGGTATGAAAACACAGATATGGCTTTACACTATGGTGCAATGTTGAGGGAGTGCATAAGACACCAGATTGTTGCAAAGTATGTAACAAAACCTGATAAATTCATTTTGTGTTGTGCATTCTATCAAGCTCAAAGCCATTAATGATGACTGTTAGGAACAGTCAAGCTTGTAATCTGTTAGAATACTATTCCAACATCTAGTCCTATACTGACACTTTTGGTTCTTGTATTTTTCATAAGTGTTCTTAGATATTCATGCCAAATCAGATAGGTGCTATGTAGGAAGCTCTGATAAAAAACTTAACAATGGAAATAGAAAAGGGTAAATGGCCTAGGTCTGATAATTTTCCCCCATATTACTATTGTGTTACTGTAATTTTTCATGGTTTTATATCAGATATGTTCTGAACTCACCACACATGAAGAAGTTTTTTGACTACATTCAACTTCCAAATTTTGACATTGCTGCGGATGCTGCAGCAACTTTTAAGGTGGATTTCGCTTGAAAGAACTTATGACGAATATTTCATTAATTTTTTGTTCTGTTTTTTTTTGCAAGAGTTGATGATATATAATGTTACCTTGTTTCAGGAGCTTTTGACAAGACATAAATCTACTGTAGCTGAATTCCTTTCTAAGAATTATGAATGGGTAGGTTTTCTTTCAATCTATGTATAGTAGCATTTTAGTTTTAATCCATGCACTTGTATAGCAACCTTTTCGTATCCACACTTTCTATTGCCTAATAATATGCATCAAATGGTATGCTGGATTAATAAAGGTTCTCATATAAGTGTTTATAAATTGGTGCTACTATGGGTTTGAGTTAGATTTTGATTTTAGTTTTACGGAAATTTGGCTGGATATTGATTTTGGTATAAATTATAATGACACAAACAATTTAAAAACATCTAGTTCTGATTATTATTTTAATTTTCATTCTTTCCATTCATATGGCATGGTCCTATTAGATCTGTATTTTTTTTATTCTTTGTTATGCATATGGTAATCTTCTTGTCAGTTTATATTAATTATATTTTATTTGTTTCTGGTTTTCTAAATAGTTTCATGTCGATTACATTTCAATTACTACTCACTTTGTATTGGTGCTTTTAGTTTTTTGCAGAATATAACACTAAGCTGTTGGAATCTTCCAATTATATTACAAGGCGCCAAGCTGTCAAGGTTCTGTATAATTTTTTTGAGTCTATCCATATAAATTTAACTTTGATTTCAACTGTAACACTCTAATTTGTAAGAACTGAGAACATTGAATGAAGTAAGCTGCTGATGTCAAGGCATTAGAAATTCTCCCTGCTGAAAACTTAAAATTTGGATTTGAGAAATCCTTACTCGTTTGTGCATAGTATAGTACATTTGTAGTTCTTTTGGCCTGTGATTGTTCCTGAAAAATAATAATAAAAAAAAATATCATAGCCAGTCAACAATTACATTCCTAGTGGATTTCCTTTGTTTTTATCCTGGAGAAGTTTGGATTTTTGGTCTTTTCTTTTTGATGTTATAGTTAATTTGTCAGTGTCATGTTGAATTGATGAATATATGATTGCTGAATTAATTTCTTTCTCTTTCACAGTTGTTGGGAGATATATTACTTGATCGTTCAAATTCAGCTGTAATGACACGATATGTGAGCTCAAGAGACAACTTGAGGATTTTAATGAATCTTCTAAGAGTATGTTCTTTTAGATGAAACTTAAATAGCACGTATTATTACTTACCTTCTTGCCTTGCTTGTGATCTTCCCTCTTACCAGTTTTATGTATTATTCCTTCTATTTTTTATGTTTTTTAGTAAGTGAAAGTGCATCAGTTCCATCAAAACATATATCCCTTCACCGTGTTATTGTTGCAGCTTGTTTAAGCATCAAAATTTGAATACTTAATACTTATGTTCAAGTTGAGTTTCTGATGTTAATAAGTTTAACGGATAAAAGGCAATTAAGAACTTAGGTATGTGCTTACAGTGGGCATTTAATGGGTCAGGGCTGATTTCTTTTTACAGGAATCAAGCAAGAGCATACAGATAGAAGCATTTCATGTTTTCAAGGTACTATAATTGTTGTATCATAGCACAGATTTAGAAGTGACAGATCTTATTTGTGCCTTTGTTGATATTTGCTTGTCATTACAGTTATTTGCTGCTAACCAAAATAAGCCAGCTGATATCATCAGTATATTTGTTGCAAACCAAAGTAAGATTCTGAGACTTCTGGATGACTTCAAATTGGATAAAGGTAAGTGATGCCATTGTAAGAGTTTTTAGTTGCTTTTATGGTACCAGTTATCATTTTCCCATGATCACATTTATTGTGGTTATGCAGAGGATGAACAATTTGAAGCTGATAAAGCTCAAGTGATGAAGGAAATTGCTGCTCTTGAACCTAGGGAACAACGCACCTGAGCTGCAAATTGTGTTAAGTGGCAAGTTGCAATGTGGCATTTCACTTTGGTGAATTCTGTATTTTAATAGTTCTGTTAGTCTTCATGAAGATGAAACTATAATTTCATACAGATTTCGATGCTTCCATTCTGTAATTTTATAACCGTCCTGTAAAACTGTAGATAAATAAATTGCTTAAATGAGCTACACGCGGTATATGGCTTTTTAGGTGGAAGAAAGTAATAAAGGTCTTCCTAGGTGCCGTGTAAATTATAAATTGTGCGAGGTCGTGCTATAATCTTACCGTCACATATTTATTTGACTGACCTACTTATGCATGATATGGCCTTCTCTGCTTTTGTTACCTTCCACTAGCTGCTGATCCAGTTGTAGTTGTCCTACCTTAGATTTTTGGTATAAGCCCTTGTCGCTACTTCGATGAAGTTGAGCTGTTGTGGAGGTGGATGAGATCTTCTGTGTTTCCTATTGAAGTTGTTCAAGATAAGGAGATAGGCGTTTGCCTTAGGCATTCAGGGCAGGCATATAAAGGGTAAGTATACCAGTGGTGGTTGTCTGTGGGATTTTGACTGATATAGATTCTAGTATTATGTGAAATAATTTTTGGGGTAATGATCCTGATCTAGGGGAGGGGGTTGAGAGTGAGAACTTAATACATTGGCCATGGTAGGAATGACAGTGGATAGCGTTTTGGATATGGTATTGACACCCGTATTAAAAAGAATTTATCTATATTCATCTTCATGCATGGATATTAAATTTGATTGTCTTATCTTTAACTTGTGTACATTAATCTTATTTATTTTCATTATTCGTATTTTAGTTAACTGAAATGTAATGTCTAAAATTTTATTTTGTGAATTAATAAAACACTAATATTTTAAAATAAAGGATAGTTATTAAAAAAATATTAATAAGGTATGATGTTACCAACAGAATTATTTATCTAATGTTAAACGTAATATAATAAAGTATCAAATTTTATCGTAATATAGTGTGTTAACATTTCGTAAGAAGAATAGAAAAAAGGTCTAGCTATTCTTTTAGGTAGACAAGGAAAAATTGGAAGCTTTAGTTTTATTTTAGCTGTATTCACATTTGTAAGAGTTTAATTTTAATATACTCTTGTGAGTCGATCAATTAGAACATACTTTGGTTGTGATTTTTTTAATAATATAATTTAAGGTTGACTATAAAATATTTTTACACTCTGTGTATTCAAATTAAGTTTTATAATGTTTTGGGAAGGGGGAGGGGAGTGTATTAAATGTAAATGTGTATGGGTACACTATAATACTTATATTTGTAATATTTTGTAGGTATTTATTTATACTCAAATTCATCACGCTGGTTGTTACTCATCTATTGAGTATCTTTGGTAAGTATTTAGTAGGTATAGGATTCTATACCGTTCGTGGCTAGGAGCAGGGGTGATGCTCGTTTGACTTCTATATGAGAGAGCTGCAGGAGAAAGCTTTTGAAGTTTGCACTCTCCACAGACGTTTTTGCATCGCGTCCATGAATTGTTTCCTTGAGACCGTTCGATCGTAAATGTGATAATTATGCACTTAATTCCCAAAAATGGAATGCACAATGGCATTTTTGGGGGTCCTAATTGCATTTCAATTTCTTCAGACCCACAATCTAATGAATGATACGTAATATGCCTTGTCTTTTTGGTCCATCATTCATGTATATTTTTCTCTGTTTAGGCTTTGCAACAAAATTTATATAGTGGGGTGGGGCCTTTTCATTTTGTGGCTGATAGGAGGCTTTTAGGAACCAGAAGAAGAGTAGCAGAGATAAGGGGCCCCAAATGGGCTTATCACCTTTCCTTTCCCAGGGATTTGCTATGTTTCCCATGAACTCTTTTACCATTATTATTATTTTAATTACAGATATCTGTCATTAAAGTCAGTTCTGGCGGAGGTAAGTATTTAATACGGCTACACAAATTCTGTTATTTGAACATATAAAAATTTATATTATTTTTAGTATTATATTTATTTATTTTTATATGTACTTATAAAAGATATTTTCTAAAATAAAAACATAGTAAAATCTGTTTTACTTTAAATGTATGAGAAATATTTTCCTATTTCGTTTATATATATATATATACACACCTAGTCATGACTAGGGAACCTAGAAGACTAGAACTTGAAAAGTGTATGGCGCGTAAGCAAAACAATGCAGCAGTATAGTCTTGGGCATATTCCATGTGCCAATCGCTACTGCTGATTTGATTAGAAATTTAGATTTTGAAATGATCATTTCTGTATACTCTTTAAAATCATTCAAAAATGAAAATGATTTGATACATCTTGAAATCGATTTTTTTGGTATTTTATTTTGAACTAATTTTTTAAAGAAAAATTAATAAAAAATAAAGGTTTTTTTGTCTGATAAAATACTTTTTCTTTATGATTCTTTTGAGGTCTTCATTTTCTTTGAGAGTAAGATAAATCTTCAATTACTGACATTGGATGTATATCTCTACTCTTTAGCGTAAACTTCTTTACGTTTTTACATTGAGTTTAATTTTTTTAAGTAAATTTTCTGTTATCTATCTGTTTGTGAATTAATATTTTATTAAAAAAGTTTAACTTTATAAGTAAGGAAAATCTTAGCAAGTGCTCTTGTAAAATTGATTTAAGCATTAAAAATATCATACAGTCCCAATCTGATTTCTAATATAATTTTAATGTGGATTTTGTTTTATTTTTTTAACTAGTGCCTTTAAGGCCCTTTAATTATTGTTATAGTTAAACTCATTTAATGACAATGCAAAAAAAAAAAAAAGAATGCCTAAGTGAAAACATAAAAACCTTTTATATAGTTTATAAAATAAATAAAAACAAATAATTTGAATTCAAATATGTTTGAAATATATTTAAGATGAATCAAATTTTATTTTCTTTTAAATATATATATATATTAAATGCAACATTACAAATTTAGAAAAAAATCTAAACCTGTTCATTGTGCTTGGTACATTGAATGTATCTTTGTTAATCTTCCTCGAAAAAGAAGTAAATGACCAAACTAATTAAAAATTATACAGTAAAATTAAAAGCAATAAAAATTTAATGCATGTGACCTGAAACTTTCCCCCTTATGTAATTAACTTGTACAGTAAGATTTCAATTATAAAATTATTTCTTTTCAAAGAACAATGAAAAGGTAAAATCCAAGAAAAATAAAGTGTGAATATATATTCATATAGCAACATGCGGTTTGATGTGCTTCCGCAGTGATCACTGGTTAGTGTGGTGCGTGAAAGGAAAGGTCACGAATACTTTTCATTTTGAGTACCTTCTCGTTCCTTCATTCTCTCTCACACACAACAGCTGAAGAACAAAATGGTCGACAATGGTACCACCCTCACCCAATATCTTTCTCTTTCCGTCTCTCGTTTCGGATTGTGGCGTGGGATCTTCTTCTTACTACTTCATTACTCATTGATGCATTAATTACAGATTCTTTCTCGGAATTCCTTGCATCTGCAGTTCATGCGGCTCAGAAAGCTGGTGAGGTTAGGCCATTTTCATTTCAATTCTCTCCATTGATTCATTTTCCGTTTCATTTTTTGTTCTTGTTGTGTTCTATTTACTTGGTTGATTTCCAGATTATTCGAAAAGGATTCTGCCAGACCAAACACGTGGAGCACAAAGGACAGGTTTGTTTCCATTCTCTCCTTTTATTTCTTTTTCCTTTTCTCGTTTCATTTCTTTCAACATAGAATGTTAATTTTGTTTTTAATCATACGATTTTTCATTTTCTTTTTTACCATTAAATCTCTTGCCGATTTCGCTTAGTACATGTTTGGTTATGGTTAAATTAAGCTTTTAGTCTGTATGTGCGACATTTATTTTTAACTTGGTCCGTAAGCAAAAATAGTTAGGATTATGATATAGTATTAGTATAGGTATGAGTTATGGGCTAACGCTTTATGTTTTATCATCACATAATAATACATCATAGTATATAAAGTTAATATTGATTTCGGAGTATTTATGCTGTGTTTGGTTCCACATTACTGATACTGATACCTTTGATCCATGTTGAACTGATGCCACCAAGAGTAGTGTTGGGTACTTAAACGCACATTTGCTTCATTTCAACGCTATACCAGACATGCACTTATAGCATGTTTGGTTTGGTGTCTATGAGTGGTGAACGTGTGTCTATCAACTGTCATCCAAACATGCAATTAGTCTTTTTATGTCCTCCTTAAATATCGTAATAGAGTGATACCATCTTCCATGACTTGTCCTGTCACTACTCCATTGTCATTTATATGTCGTTTATGGGTAAAGGTTTATGTCGCGGCCTCAGCTTGTGTGTGACCATTTTAGTTAAATTAAGCATTTGGTCACGAAACAGTTTTCAAATCAGTTTTTATAGGTGAAATCATTCTCTCTCTATGGTCTACATTTGTTATAAGCAATGAAGAGCACACAGGTCATGGTGCTCAGGTTTGTCCACCAAGGTTTAGACAGAACTTTTGGTTTTGATTAAATTTTCAGGATTCTTTTATTCAATAGGTTTCACAATAAATAAGCCAAGTTAAACATGCACTTGGTAAGTAATTAATAGTTTTATGCATATCAATGTCAAAACAAGATGCAACAATCTCAAAATTATCCAATATGACATGGTTATATTGGAGAAAACAAGTGAGAAGTTAGGGGGGAGGGGTACTTCTGGTATGTTCTTGTAAAGAAGTTCAAATAGCCATGGAATTAAGTATTGGCATTATCATAACATATAAGTGATAAAACATTATATAGCCCTTTTGCTTACTGTTTTTTACTTTTGTTGTGTGATGCACAGGTTGATTTGGTCACAGAAACTGATAAAGCATGTGAAGAACTCATATTTAATCATCTCAAACAGCTTTATCCCACTCATAAGGTTGGTTCATATCTCTCTCAAACGTAACCTTACATATACATCATTAATCAAGTTTAAGATGGGTGGCTATTCTTTTGCCATTGTATATTTCCTTAAGTTCATTTAAATTGGTGTTCTTTTTAGTTCATTGGGGAAGAAACCACAGCTGCTTGTGGCACTACAGAACTAACGGATGAACCCACATGGATAGTTGATCCCCTGGATGGAACTACCAATTTTGTGCACGGGTAATCATAAATTTTGATGTTTAAGTTGACGGCGATCCCCTTATATTTCCATATTGATTGGTTATAATTCTACTGTCTGTAGGTTCCCCTTTGTTTGTGTCTCCATTGGTCTTACAATTGGAAAAATTCCTACAATTGGTGTTGTATACAATCCAATAATAAATGAGGTGAGAAATCATCCCTCTTGAGATGCTTTATTTGTGGTTGATGATAAAACAATTAACATTTTCGTAAGTCAGAAATGTGCAAAATTTTATTCAATGTTAAAACATAATCTTGCATGTATTATTTTTGTTTTAGGTTCTGACTTTTGGCATACTGGCCAAATGTAGAAACAGGATAAGATAGAATATTATAGGCAAACTTAATTGTTCTGTTGTCTTCTTTTATCATCATTTTTTTCTGTAGCCTTGATGTGATAAAAAAGATTTGTTAGAGACTAGACGTGAAAGTAATTTATTTAGGAATGTGACACTTTGATTTGTATTTAAAGCGACTTATTGGCATTTTATAGTACTTTTAATTAATTCTCCTTCTTGCTTAGTATTCAAATTAAAATTTGGGATTATGATATGTAGCTTTTCACTGGAATCCATGGAAAAGGTGCTTTCTTGAATGGGAACCCTATAAAAGGTGAGTTTTCTGTTTTTAATCTTTTGACTTTTGTTGTTAATTTAGATTTTATGCTTATGCCTTGAAATTTCACAGTATCGTCACAAACTGAACTAATAAGCTCTCTTCTTGCCACTGAGGTATGTCTGTCATAGTTCATTATGTGAAATCTATGTAATTTTTTTTTCATTTATTTATATCAATGAAACACATTCCCTTCCTTTCCTTTCCTTTCCTTATGGTGCACTTGCGTTGAATGTTGATGACACAAATGTAATGAAACATATAGTTGGCTTCAAAATATCACCGTGCGGAATGGCCATCTAGGCGAGAATGGTTTTTTCAGTTAATCAAAGTACCAACATACCAGAATTTCTATGTGATCATTTAGCAGATTGTAACTTATGATTTACTAAGTCTGCTTTAAGGTGTATCCCCACTTTTTACCTGCAATATTGTGGTTAATTACTTCAAAATTCAAATCTGGTCCTTTATGTTAGTGAGAGTATCTTAATTCCTGGAATACTAACTTGACTTGGGATAATAAGATTATGGGTGTGGTTCACTTGTGAATATTTTTGTTTTTGAATCAAGACAAATTTGAAATTCATCAAACTCTTTCCCTTCTGAATGAACAGGCTGGAACAAAACGTGACCAAGAAACACTAGATGCCTCTACTGATAGGATTAAAAGCTTGCTTTTCAAGGTAAATCCTGGACTTTCGTTGGAATCTATCAGACTATGGTGATAGCCGGATTCTGCTATAACCCCGCCTTTTCTTTGTCAGGTGAGATCTCTTCGTATGAGTGGCTCCTGTGCTCTGAATCTTTGTGGAATTGCATGTGGAAGGCTGGATGTATTTTTTGAACTTGGCTTTGGTGGTCCTTGGTATGAGTTTCTCCTGTATATTTGTTGGGCATTGTGATAATGCGATTCACATGGTCCCTTTCTTTTTCCAGGGATGTGGCAGGTGGTGCTGTTATTGTTAGAGAAGCTGGAGGTGTTGTATTTGATCCGTAAGTAACTTTGTTTAGTTATCCTTATTCTTCTCGAAGGGGATGTCTATGAAGTTCTAGATAATCTTTGCATCGTTAGGTACATAGTTCATTTGACAATTCTGATGCATCTTGTGGACAGTTGTGACATTGTTGGATGGACATACACCGTGACATATTTTATGTTCTAATAGGCACGACTTACTTTCAGTATAGAGAAGTATTAGCACAAAGTAGCATAGATATGTCGTAAAACTTTCATACTTACATCAACATCTAATGTTTCGTTTGCTTCAGGTCGGGTGCAGCTTTTGACATAACATCTCAGCGAGTAGCGGCTTCTAATCCTTTCTTAAAGGATGCACTTGTTGATATTCTGCGCCAAACGGTGTGAGAATTTAACTATTTATCGATGACAAAACTTGTCATATTAGTCCATCTATGTTAGTTTATTTATATTGTGATCAAATAATTTTTAAGATTCTCATTTTTTGGTATAATTACCAGGTAAAATTGTCTGAGAATTTTTAAAATGCTTGTATGAATCCAAACAAAGTATTCGATGATAATAACTTTTGTTTATACAATAATAATTCACTTTAGAAGTGTTTCCGAAAAAGTGCATTCCTTCTAAATTGCGTTGCCAAAATATAAGTATACTAAAAATGTTAGGAATACATTTTTGACGCATTTTTTCCCCTAACACACTGTAATTGGACAGTGAATTTCGTATTAAGTCCCATTAAATAAAGGGTTGATTTAAGTTGGCGAGACTTGCATAAAATTCATCTAATAATAAAACTTGACCGAAAGTATGTGATTCTCCTGAGTATGTATTCACTAATTTTGAGTAGATGTCCCATGTGTTAATGATAGTCACTCGCATTAAATTAACTCCGTTCACATGGCCTACGAGAGGCTTCTCGAAAACTTCCGTCTTGATTATGCTGCGATTCTTTCGACATTTTCTCGTGACTCATATTTTTAATTTATTATCATATGGCTAGTGACAGTCTCTTGGCACGGTCTTGATAAAGTTAGGCAGAAATGCGAGAAAAATTGGAAGTAGCACATTGTTCATAAGCATGAGTTGGCGTGCACCTATTTTTTTTTAGAGAGTAAAACTTGAATATATTACAATAATAGTCTAGTAGAAAGAAATAGATTGGGGTTCGGTTTTCAAACTATGAGAAGAAGGGTACCCGGGGAATTCAATATATATAATGATCGATTCGGAGCATTGTGAATCCAAGTACAAAGCTTACAGGGTCAATAGAGGAAGGAATATGACAAAGAGGGCACAATGCATCTATCCCTTGGGTTTGACAATTCAAACGATGCCAAAGACTTTTGGTCAATGCTCACCAAAATGTGTCATGTACAGGGAAGCTAAGCTGTACTCTATATACTCTTATTATTTACAGGGGCACTGTTAAAGTCTGAGGCCCACATAGAAATTTAAGTCGACGTTAAGTTTTTGGAAGAAAACTTTACCAATGCGTATGGTAAAATCCCCTTTAGCTTTTACTACGACCCAAAAAGATAGAAAAATTGAATGCCTTCAACTTGCCCCGAGAGACAAAAAAACAATATATTTGAAACTGGAAGGTGTGCAGAAAGATAAAAGTAAATAATAAATACAAATATGAAGAAACCAATACAAAGTATCCTCTGGAATAGCTCTGGAATAGCATGATGGAGGAAACCACGCCCCAGGAACTCACTATTCTATGAAAGAATTTATCTCAAAAACAGACTCTAATCTACTGGTAGTATCCTACATGCACTCAATATACGTATGCAAATATACAGACAGAAAGGTCTAACAACAAAACTCATATAGATAGGATTAAGAAGCCAAAAATCCAGGACCTAACCGGCCACTTATCCTACACCTGCTGTGGCCTAGAACCATACCCATTTACTCCATTGATGCCATGTGTCGTTTTGCTCTCTGATTGCCTCCTCTTCAACACAATGATCCATGTGTAAGCTTCCAAAAGCACAGCAATGCCACCCAAAGCTGCAATAATGCCAATGTAAGCATGCTTCCAGTCATTGTAGCGATCCCCTACTGAGTTCTCCAATGCATCGAACCCCTTAAAGATGTTGGCGATGCTGATGGCTATGGTGGCGTATCCAATGGCATAGTGGTAAATATTCCAGTAGAATCTGTATTTGTGATCTTTGTTGGGCCTCAGAAGCAGAGCAAAAACCTGTATCCAATAAAAGCAGTTTCTGTCAATCCCATAACATTCAAAATAGGTATATCAGTGGTTTCAGGAACAAATGATGAACAACATGTCATACCTGAAGGGTTCCAAGGCAGAACAGGACGATTCCGAGTCTTCTATGGGTGTTATATTCAATACCAACTGAATCACTGCCTAGTTTGAGACCAGTTCCCCATCCAGCAACCCCAACTATGTAGGCAGAGGTTTGGCATGTAACATGAAGGTAAAACCAAGCAGGGTCTGCTGATTTGAACACCTTCAAGTACCTTGCTATTATGGCACCAAGGGGCATCAAAGTACCCCAGCTCAGTGCATTCAGCACTCCATGAACCTGAACAAATTAACATGCTTCATTCAGTTTCGAAAAAAAAATATCCCAACTTTCTCCTGGCTCAACAATGAAAACCATGGTAGAATAAATTTTAGGCATGTTTGTTTTTAAGTCTTGAAAAATCAATTTTCACGCCTAATAAAAAACACGCATTCGAATAAAAATATATGATTTAGATCAGTTTGTATATACATCTCAATCATATTTTAAGTTCAAAATCAAATTATTTTTTATCAAAATAAAAATTCTCAACTCTTAACCAAACAAATCACAGTGCATAAGAAAGAATGAAAAGAGAGATACTTACATTTCTTCTTCTTAGAGAATTCCCATTTGATCCTGCTTGACTGGTACCAGAAACAAGATTCAAGCTTTCCTTGGCTCCGAGGTTAGCAGGATTCCGGTCATGGATTCCAGGGGTAGAACCACTGACAGGACCATCTTGCCAAAGGTGGACCAAGTTGGTGGTACCGCTGGGAAGAGTAAGGGTAGCATAAATGGTTACCTCACTACCCTGATGGGTAGCCGTCAAGCCAGAGTGAGGATAAGAGATATTTCCCTCAGCCAACGTGGTTGTATAGCCAGCGATATGAGAAGTGTATGCCCTAGGGGCCCCGCTTGATTGTAGTACAGCCACCAGAGCCTCTGCTCCCATCATAGCATTATTAAGGTTGTTGGAGGGGTTGATAGCCCATGCAACCCATCGGTCTGTTGATGAGATTCCAGTGTGTCTGAATGCTATGTCCAAGCTTCCTGTGTTCTGGTTATAGGTCCAGTGGAGATACGAGGTTAATTGGGGAAGATCACGACATGAAGTGTAAACCTTGTTGTTAGTGAAGGTTTGTGATTGGCATGTCTGTGCCGAGGTTGTCAGAAGGAGAGAGCTCAGGACAGATATGGCCAACACAAGCCTCATCACCATCAACTTCCCAACCATGTTAACCCTTTTGCTTAATATACCCACTTCTCTTCCTTGATCCTGAAAAGGGTACTTTTAGCAATTCGAGAATTGGGTCTTGCTCACAACTAAGAACAAGGAAGGAGATCTAATGCCAAATGGCTTGTTATTTTGTTGTTGTTTTTCTCCTTTCTGCTTCTAGCAAAAACAGGCACTAAAAGTTGAATGAACTGAAGCAGGTTGTGGTTAGGAAAGAGGGAAGATGGGGGTTATTATAAGAGTGGGTGGGTTTAGGTAGTTGAGTGGTTGATGTCCAACGATGACTAAAAGTCTGAGAGATGAAAATATTAAAACTTCAACGGAAAAAAAGGGAGTTAAATATTAAAATAAACACCGCAAAATCTATACGCTCAAATTCGTTGTTTTAAGCTTACTTTGTGATACTCCATGACTCTAATAACCAAAATTTAAAATTTTTATTAAATAAGAAACCCCTTAAGCCTTAATTATCAAATTATAAACGGCGTGTTATTTCTCATAACGGGGTCCACCCGCCCCATAAGAGGAAGCTTCCATTACCTGTGTCATGTAAAAGCAATTTGATTTGTTCTAAAAAAAAAATTGGAATTCCGACACTACCAAGTTTTTCTACCTTTCTGAAACGACCATCCCTTTCCACACGTCTCATTGTGCAACTCAAGACTCCACAATTCACACACACATTTGTCTTTTATTTAGCCTTTTCTTTTTGCTTTTTATTTTCAAATCTAAAAGTTGCAAACTTGGATTTGATGGGTAAATCGTGAGTGAAGGATCAGAATATTGTTGGCCAGTTCAACCAAACAGTTGCCATTTGTTGTGAGTCTAGCAACTTCTTTCATCCCTTTTTATTTTTTATTTCTCTTTTTCTTTTTTGTATTTTTGCGTAGCAATGTCGTCAGTCCCATACCAAAGGAGATTGACTGTATTTCTTCAAATCTCATCATGACATACGGTACGGATACGGTACTCGTATTTAAAAATGTATAATACATTCTATCAATGCTAATATGTTATTCAAGCTTGACTTCAAGTTTAATAATATATTATTTTGATGAAAATGTTAATGTAAATTTTATAAATCATGATCGTAAGCATCAATACGGTATGTTTAGGTATAAAATAAATAAATACAGTGTGACGTATTTGTGTTCTCAAATTGAAAAGGTTTAAATAATCAGATGTTCCAATTTATAATATTAAATAATATAGATTGTAGACGAACTTAATGATATTTTACATTTGTTTACCTATAGAACACATTTTTCATGTATCTTAATACCGTTAAAACCTTTGTCGAGTGACTGTAATCTATTTTCAAAGTGAACAAATTGGTTTGAAAGATTTCAACTGAGAATTAATGAAGCCAACATAATGAAAATTAGATTAGTTTTCGTTATTAAAGATCGTTTCAGCAAAAACTAAATTGTCATATAATTTAAATATTTTGAGCGTTTACTAATAACATACTATATTATATTGCTAAATTTTTAATTATCAATACAAACAATTAGTATACTACATTATTTGTTAGTATAGATCGTAAAATTTCTGATCAAATGCCAGTTATAAATAATACCACTGATAATTATGAATACCATGTGGAATTTTCATCTCAGCAGATCGAATTGCCAAACGTATTTGTGAAGGGTAACGAAATTATGTAGTCAACGTTTGTGGAAACCTAATTTTTGTTACTTGAATCGTTTTTAAGTTGCAGTGATTCCTTGTGTAATACGTATGCCATTACCATCGTCCGAAAATTTTGGTCTCGGAGTCAACTCTGAGATTGTGTTTATGAGTAATTTATTTATAATATTGTGGCTGCACCCATTTGAGTGGGTCAGCAAAATTGGACATGTAAATACAAAGTCAAGAAACGTGAGCGTAATGCATTGGGACTCAGTTTCTGATCATTTAGCATTTGCTACCAACCCTCAAATAAATACCCACTTCTACCCAGCAAGAGGATTTGTTTTAAATATTTTAATAATCTTTAGTACTTCCCAATTCTTTTAGATTTTGATTTATAATAGATTTGGATGTGCAATACTTTAAGTTTTTCCAAAACTTCTCTTTAATATTCAAAATATTACTTTTAAGGATAATCGAAAAGTAAATTTGAAGTAAAATAATATATATTTGAATACTGACAGTGATTTTTTACCTAAATAAAAATAATAAACTCAACTCACTGTAAAAGCACTACTTCTTTTGCATTTAGTAAAAAGGTTTCTGCTTAGATTTCCACTTCCACAACATGTAAATTGAAAATCTTAGTTAATATTTTCATTTGGGAAAACTTATATATTATAGATGTATCTATTTATTGTTGAGAAAACACTAAAGAGAAATTTATCAAAGGGTTATGACCGTGTCACACGAATATGTTGAATATCATATTTAATCTAAAATCTAAATAAATTAGATATACGAGTTTGTCATTTGTATATTATTTGACTTATTTATTCTCGTTGAATATGAGACTCTTTATTCAAATTTGTTACTTCTACATAAGTTTGGGGTATTTTATTGCACAGTTTATTTTTCAACTTACGCATTAACTTTTGCAATTATACAATATGAATATTAAATAATTAATACTATGTGTTATTATTTATAGTTATTCATAGCTTCTATATAATTTTTAAAAAAATATGTATGTCTTAAAAATACGCCAGCATCAAAGGAAACAATTATTATTTTCAATGTTTCATTATTTCCAAACTTTTAATATAATTTTTTAAGGAGGTTCTAGTGATAAAAAATATTTTAGTTAATAATTATGATAGTTTTAAGAATTTTCTTTTTATCAAGTTATACTACACATAGTATCACCACAATATTTTCTATTCTCTTAAAATAACTGGTTAAAGATATGATATAAGAGTTAAGAAATATAATTTATTTATTTATTTATTTTTTGTAAAAAAAATATAAATTTTTAGTTATATTTTGTATATGATTTTATTATGTAATAAATAAATATAAAAATAAGATAATAATTAATTTAAAGGTAAAATTAAAATAAATAAAAATTTTATTTAAATTTATAAAATAATTATGATTTTATAAAAAATAAAATTGACTTGAAGGTGAAAATGAAAGAGATGTGGATATGGGAAGGACTGTTCAAACCGGCAGCGCGCATTGGCGTGTGGAGGTGGGCGCGTCAAAGCTGGGACCACACAGATAGAGTACACACTTTATACGCTGCCACTTGTGTCCATTATGGCGCTCGATCCGTACGATGTATTCTCCCCAAATTAAAACTTAAAAATTCCCAACCAAATAATTAACTAATATATTTAATAAAAAATGATAATAAGTAATCCTACTCAAAGAATTTTAATTTTTTTTTCATATTTTAAATATAATTTTAACTAATTTTTGTCGTGTACTAATTATTTTTTCATACAAATTCTAAAGACTTATTTGTTTTAGTTTTAATTTTTAATTTTTTAAAAAATGAAAATAAAATTTATTTTTTAATTATTTTTATTATGACAAAATAAAAAAACTTGTTTGATAAACTTACTTTTAAAAATAAGTTTTAAAAATAAAAAAATGTGTGTTTGATTTTATTTACTTATTTTATTTAATATTTTAAATTTTATATATATAGTTGATATTTAATTTCATTTTTTTATTCACTTATATATATTTTTTATATTTAAAATAAAAAATATATAACTTTGTATCTGTAAGAACAAAAATATGTGATTTTAAATAATGTTTGGTAGTTTAGTTGATAAATTAATTTATAAAATTAATTATTGAAATTTTAAAAAATTAAAAATAATATTAAATTCATTAAATTATTTTTTATTTTTATAAAAAAATAATTATGTAAAATATATCGATAAAAATAGTAAAAGAAAATTAGTAAATTAAAAAAATTATTCTATTTTTATTCATGTGTATTTTTACTTCTAAATTGCAATTACAAATATTTTAATATTTTAATAAGTTCTTTATGTTTTTTTTATTTCAAGTTAGTGTATGAAATACAACAAAAAAAATCAAAAGTTTTTATATTCTCCTCATCCTTTTTGTCCAATTCACAACACTATTTTTTTTAATTTAAATTAGCAATACAATAAAATAAATAAATTATCATGTAAATATTTATCACAATACAACTTTTATTTCATCATCTTCAAATACTTCAAATACAAAATTTACTACAAAATATATAAAAAAAGAATAATATAAAAAGAAAAAAAGAATAATATTTTTTTAAAAATGTATTAGTGCTTATTTACAAGTAAAAATCTAAATCAACACAAGTGAAAAAAAAAATGCAAGATAAAAATAAATTTGGACGCTCGTTGAACACATATATGCCATGAGATAGTTCATACACGTAGTGCTTCTTTCAACGTTTCGTTTCAAACAAACACTTTATTAACATTTGCCTTTTTCATTTTTTTTATTTTAAAACAAAACACTTTATAAGTTATTCTGATTTTTAATTTTAAAATTTGAAAATAATTTAAAATTTTAAAAACTTAAAAATTTAAATTAACAAATAAATTATATATTTTTTGTTTTTAAAAAGTAAAAACTATATTTAAAAAGAAAAATAGACATACTCTAAATCTTTTAATTTTTATTAATAAAAAATGAATTATTCTTAATTTTAAACAAATATTGATGTTATCAATTTAAATTACACATATATTTACATCTGAAGGATAAAGACTTTAATAATATGAAATTATAGACACTTATATAAAAAGAAATATAAAAGTCACAACACAAAAAAAGACATAAATATCACAATCTACTCAAACTATTACAAATTAATTACTATGTATTTTAAATTAGACTTTAATTAACAATCGGTAAATTTATCATGTTTCTAAAAGAAAACAATAGTTTTTTTTTTAAATCTAAAATGAGAAATAAAAACTAAATTATAGCTAGTTTTAATTTTGTGTTCCTTAAGAAGTTTTGGAGAGTGATTAAGGAATAAGTGATAGGTATACTTACTGAATTTTTTAGAAATGAGAAACTACCTAGGTCTTTGTTATTCTACTTTATAGCACTTGTGTCAAAAGTGTCATCCTCACAATAAATATTTAATTTTCAACTTATCTCATTGCTAGGTTGCCTTTATAAGACTGTTTCTAAGCTTTTGGCAAATAGGTTGAAAAGAGTTCTAGATTCAATAATTTCAGAACAACAATTACCCTTTATCCTGGGAAAGAACATATTAAATAATGTGCTTGTGACTAATGAGGTAGTTGATTATG